TCCCCTGGACCCCACAACTGAGGTTGTAACAGTATACTACAGGTATTCTGTCTATGCATTCGTCTTATAGTTGGGGTTAATAATCAGGAATTGGACAGGTTTGGATGGGATGAATTTTACATTTGGAAGTAAGGCCTTAGTATGCTTCACACAAAGTGCTTGTCATATCATCGAACCCCCTAAAACATCATAACTTTTGTCTACCCAGTCGGAAACCTACCTTGCTATGTCCGAAATGTAGAAGCTATGCCCGACAAATTTTCTTAAAACCACAAAATCCACCAATCATTACTCAGCACTTAGTCAGGTGTGATTGTAGGCACAGTTTGGACTTCTCTCTGAATTTCTTGTCTCTGCCTTTACACAACTACCTCCGTCTTTTTTCACGTGTATAACCAAGTGCAAGACAATGGGACTGTCCACCTTTCTTCACCTTTAAAAAATTAATTGTGTGACACTACTTTTTATGACAGCAGGCTCGTTACCCCGCTGTGGAGGGACGACACATCATACGACCTAGTTCCTTTGAAGCATACTGAGGCCTTTAAAGGTTGAGGCTTAGTCTATTATTCATGGTTGCTTTGTTTGTTTGAACAGAAAAAGCATCTGAAACTCTATTTAATATCAACTTTCTGTCAGCTGATAGTTGTTAGGAAAAGGCTGGTCAAATCTAGTGTTAATATTTAGTACTGCTGCTCAATACTAAAACGTTAAAGGGGAATTGAGGGTTTCATTCATAATTCTGTATAAACTTACTTCAACCTAAAAGGGATAGTTTGACAAATATGCCCAATTGCTTTCTTGTCGATTGTTAGATGAGAAGCTCAATGCCACGCCCATGTTTTTGGAGGGGGAAATGCTAGGCTTGGCTTTGTTCGAAGGCAACAAGTCAGCTTAAGTGGGCTTAGAGTCTTTATGCTAAGCTAAGCTAACCATCTCTTGGCTGTAGCTTCATATTTAATGGACAGATTGATATCGATCTTCTCATCTAGCTCTCGGCAAGAGTAGATGCATTTGCCAACATGTTGATCTGCTCCTTTAAAATATGTACACAATCTAGCACACTGATGTTTTCAAAAAGGATCATTATTATAAGACTTATCTTGTCATCTCCTACTACTGGCTTCAAGCTGAGATTTTGATTTTATTTCTTTTTGTAACGGACATATTTTTCATTGCTGACATTTTTACTTTTTCACAGGGGCAACTAATAATGTTAACAATGGCTCTGTTTAGTTTAAGTGTCCCGGTGAGCATTGTGAGCTGTGTACAACATCGGGATGTTTGAACTGGAACACCTAGATGTAGCAATTAGTCATGATATAGGGACAAGACCCATAGATTTAAGAAAATATTCTTAGAAATTTTTGCAGTGTACAGAAAGAGAGAGATACCCTGACATTTATTTAGCAAATGTGCACTTTATCTTACATCTGAGTATTTCGTAATAAACTCGTAATGACCCAGTCCTCACCCAGCCTCCTCCTGACCACACGTGTCAGTCTGTCTGTCTCTGCAAACCTGACAGACAAAACATTTGCCTCGATCCTCCAAAGATATGACAGCTGCTGCCATCCTGTTTTCCCTTTAAAATAGGGCACAATGTGTTCACAAAGACGAGATAGGAACTGGCTTTGTGCTGCAAGGACAAAAAACTATCATCCACACTATAGACGGTGTGAACATCTCAGGTACACACCAAAAAGAAAAACACGCTGTAGCAGAAGGCTGTCAGAGAGGATTTTTAAGAGCTTTTTAACAGACATGGGAACCTTAAATAAACTATTTTCAAGAGGGTTTATAAATAGCAGTCTTTGTTGGTCCGGCTCAACCAGCATTACTCTTATAGAACAGCTGCCGAACTTAATTTATAGGATTAATGAATGCATTTCACAGGTTAATGCCCGCCCATCAATGATCAGATTAGGAGAGCGTGAGTGTCTAACACAGTGAGTGACATGCAACAAGATCTCCCCCGCTGATATCAACAGAGTGAGGCGGAGCTACGTTCAAATACCAGGAAAAACACACTGTGTATATACAGACACACACACACACTTCCCGATTCGTAGATTCCCATCCAGGCCATTTATTTTTAGATTAGCGAGGCAAATATAAATTTCTGCTTTGTATTTTTGTTGACCCTGTTATATAAATGAATAAAGTTCTCATCAGAAGCATTACAGAGACACTGGTTACACTGTTTTGCCTTGTTTACTTATTAAAGGACCTTTACTTTGTCTTATCTAATGGAAAACATGAGTCAGCAGGAATCCAGATGAGTGCTTCAAACTGTAAATAGACTGTCTTTTATTTTTGCCGCAGTTTCTCCATTCTTGTGTTGTGTAAGGGCACTTCATATTTATAGTTGTAGTGTTTGTGTTTTAGTGTGTTGTGCTGGTCCTTTACCGATGACGAGGATGACTTTGGGCCGCGGTCTGGAGGGATCAAACACCTCGTACTCCTCTATGAGCTCCGCCGTCTCTGACAGGTCCGAGTCGCTCTCGATGGAAAACTGGCTGATGGGAGGGAGCCGGTCATACCGTCTGTAGGGAAAATTGGGACTGTCGGGCAACACTGTGACACACACACACACACACACACAAACACAAAGATATAGATGAAAACCACTTAGTCTGCTTTTGTCTTGAGTATTGAAATATTTACTTCCAAAGCTTAAGTTCACAGTTAAATATCTCTGAAAGGAAGTGACTCATCCATGTTCTACGAGTTTGTCAGACAAATCCTGCGGTAATTTTGTGCTGTCGATGACTTTATAGGTGCAGAAAAAAACAAAAAGAAAGTAAAACTGTGATGAATTCAATGCTTCATTTACTTCAGTAATTATACTACTGTCTCTGGTGATGGAAGCATTGATTATAATGAATAACAACTATTCCAAGGGATCAGAGATGCTATACTTCACATAAAAACCACGGTATTATAAGGATGAGAATGCTATTGGTGATGCTATTCTATCACTGACAATACATGTACTGGAGATTCAATCTGACGAGGACAGAGATGAGGTGAAACTGAACAAACACACAAGAGCTTGTTAAGATCAGAACACACAGACGGTTGCAAAAGCTAATGTTGCCCTACCTGCCTGAATCTAAAAGTTTGCTTTTAGCCCTTAAACATTTCTAACGCATTGAACAGTCACTGAAGCCAAGATAATAAGCGAAAGCATCACTCCCTTCCAGGAAACGTTTTGAAACACGACAGATCTGAGCCTCAGCTATCAGCCGAGAGGCGAATCGCAGGACACAGTAGTCTCTGATTAGGCTGCAGTTCCCAGCAGCTAAGCATCTGGCAAAGCCTTCATGCATCTTTAACAATATATTAAGAGAAGTGGGATACACGTCTTGACTGTAAAGATTTCTCTTTTCTAAAAACCATCTCTTCATGTCTGCATGGTTGTGTGGTGTCAGTGATAAGCCTGTAATCTAAAAGGTACAGAACATATTTGTACTCACACACACGTAACTCTGTTCTGTTTTATTGTCATGGTAGTTCCTGTGTACGTTACTGCCTTGCTTCACACAAAGCATCAAACAAAGAAGTAAATGTTTGACTCTAAAATAGACTTGAAAGAATGCAAATAGCTAATGTCATTAGCATAGGAGAGCCGTAGTTGAAGTCTACTCTTCCCTTCAAATTCAAACTAAGTTTTGCATCTGCAGTCATTCCCACATTGATTAGACCCAGTGGAAACTACAGCTGGAATAGATAACTGATGAATGGAGAGCATTTTTGGTCTCATGTGAATGATTAACCACACACGTTCATCTGTCTTTTACTGTATGGTAACAGGCTGCCAACAAATCCACAAGTCGGTGAAGGCAGCACTGTTGTGTTCGAGGCTAAGATCTGCACATTGGGTTCTGTTTCTGTAGCAATGTAGCTGGTGTTTTGGACGTTATGTGTTCGTGGGTGCTCTGGTGTCCCAACAAAGGCTTCTGGCACATTTTGGAAACTAAAAGCATGTGCCAATGATGTAATGATGTGCACAACTGCACTTCAAACTGCAGAAAAAAGCCTCCTATCTCACCACGCTCTAAAAGTCTTTTACTACTAGTGTTTCCAAAAGTAGTTTTAACAGCGTTATCTACAGTGGGGTTTGTGAGGGTACAATACCAAATGTCAACACCCTTTCCTGTCGAAATCGTGAGCCACTGTGGTTGCAGTTATGTAGTAGATGATGATGTACTGCCAGTGCCCTTAGAAAGAAGTCAAATGCCAAAAAATACATTTTGGCTCCTAGCAGACAGCCTTTTCTTTGCCCCCAATTAAAGAAGTAGACAGACAAATATGAACCAGACTTCCAATGAGTACAATTTTAACAACAACCTAAAGAATATTTTTACTATCATATAAAACAAACTAAAACAGGATATCACATTTAAGAAACTTTTTTGCTTGACACACAACTTGAACGATTAATTCGTTATCAAAATTGTTTTAAGGGGAATTATGTGCTGAACAACAAATTGGTTAAAGAACCAGTGTGTAGGATTTAGTGACATCTACTGGCGAAGTTACAGTTTGCAATCTACTCAACACCACTCCCGTTTGTATTTGGCAACCTGGGAATGAGAACAGAAACTCACAAAAACGTGAAAATCCCAATCTACAGCCAATGTTTAGTCTGTTCTGGATTCAGCGTGCTGGTCTCTAAGGAAGGTGACCAGCAAAACCAGTTAATTCAACAGTAATTAAAACACAACGATTTTTATATGAAAACATACATATGAATATTAATTCCATTCTGCCAAAAGATCCTCCTAAAGTTACACCACTGGACTGAATAACTCACTAATTGTTTCAGCTCTAATGTGTTTCACTACCCTGTGCAATCAGCATTCACTGCTCACCATTTCTGAAGAGGGACCTGCGTGATTGGCCACCGTTGAGAGGGGGAAGGGACTTCTTCTCCTGGCCCACGAAGGTATCCCACCGCACCTTGTCTGGTCCACCAAGCTCCCTGGCTTTCTTCAGACAGCCCTCCAAGTAGTCGATGGGGTCGTCGGGCCGGTAGTACATCAAACCTGTCAGCAGGCTCTGGAGAAAACAATGTTTGTTCTGGGATCACTACGTCTTTGTTATGAGGCGTTGTTCTGTGACAGTTTGGCGGCGGGGAACAGCTCGTCTTAATGAGGTGAAGTTTTGAAGCACAGATCTGGTTGTCTTGGCGGGGCTCCACCGGGGGGACAGAACATCCCCATTTTTGTCAGAAAAAACCCATGAAATTGGACTCGGCCCGGCAAAAAAAACACAGAACTCTGATGACCTGTTACTGCCAAGGAAAAGAGCCAACCACTGTGATGAATGTGAGAACGGACTCCAAGCCAAGACACAAGTCAAGTGTATGTTTCTGTGACACTTGTCCCCCTCGACCCTGAATGTTTCAAAACAATACCTTCCTCTGGGACTCCATCTCCACCCTCCTCACTGACAGCTCCCTCCGCCAGCAGCGGGAACACATAAAGCTTCTCCCAATGGAAAACAATTTGATGTGCTTATTTGGTTGATTAATAGTAAATACACCTTTATACGAGAGGCAATTGTAAGCAGTGAAATTACGCTGTAGTTTTGATGATGATGTGTCACTTCACTGCTCAATGTAATTTGAACAGGCTGTAAATAAACAAACAGTGATTGCTTGCATACATTAGCTGCACTGCACTTTGGGATTGAGTCTAATTAAGTGGAAGGGCCAATTTGCTATCCCCTCAGGAGCACTAATGATACTTTATTATATTTATCTGTGTGTAATAGAGAGTTTATGCTGGTTTATCATACTTTATAGCATGTGTTACTTTTAATGGTATAATATTCCCATAATATTCCTGTATAGACTTCATTAATCCTTCATTTCATTTCATGACATCTTTTCATTCTTTACAGTATGTTTGTGCCTGCCTGCCACCAATATAGCACAAATATTCCTTTAGTTAAGTGCCATATGATCATGTGTTTGATTTATTTCTCGCACTATGTCACAGTATTCATTTCCATTTGTCATGATAAAGCAACGCAGTCCCCAGCTGAGAATAGTATAGGTTGCCTCGCACCTCAATTAAAAGCAAATTATGCAAACGAGGGGAAACGGTCTGTTTCGTGTAATTACAGCTTGACTAATGGTGATTACTATAAAAACACAGTTTTAGGAGGCAGTTTGTAAAATGATAAATCAGTAGGGTTTCCCATCTCATTCAGCCACTGCTTTAATCAAGAAGTGCGCTTTTAGAGAGACGCGCATTCGCTCCTCCATCAACCATAACAAGCTGTATTAGCCTACACATCAGGACTCTGACAGGCGTTTTGAATGAGACCAATCTGTGTGTATTGTGTAAAAAAAAAAGCACACTACATATCTCGATCATTTCATCCCATCAAAGCGCACACACACACATACACACACACACACACCATCTCTCACCTCAAATAGTTGAGGTATCTCCCGCCGCGCGAGATACTCCTTGGCATCGTTGGTATTCATCTCCAGTCGGATTTCCTCTGAAATCACAACTTGTCCGGAGCGTTTATTTATTATATTTCTCTACTTCAGATGTCTCAGTGCCGTCAGGTAATCTTTGGTGAACGACCGAGCTCCGCGCAGTTTTCCCCTCTCAGTGCATTTTTGCCTCGTGTGTGGACTTTACAACTGGATTCCTGCGGGCGATGCCACCTCGCCACCCTCCTCCTCCTCTGTGATGCGGATGCGTGGCTCGCGTTCGTCTTCCCTCCTACAGCGCTCCGCTTTCAGCACGCACTCACCGTGTGTTTGCCTCGACGATGGCACAGAGGTTTACGCTGTGTGCCAAAACACACACACACACACACACACACACACACACACCACATGCCTGTCTTCGCCTCATGTCCCAGCAGGCCTTGCTGTGGGCCGACAGAGTGGACACTGCCTGCTGATC